CAAATCATTTCCATAGTGAGGCAAGTTTACTTAAGATGACTGATGTCTTGTCATACAACATGGGACTACTTGGGACGATTCAGTATTCGAGTCTCTCACTTACTGATGTTAATATCGCATTTCTTCAGATTGGGTTTCAAGGTGTCCTTAATGTTCATCTTATGCCCACCTCTACAGAGGTGACCACTGGTGATTTAGGAGTAAAGGACCTGTTTTTGGAGATGACTGTCAGGCATCTTTATGACATCCTGTCCAATGGAGCTGGTGCCATATAAACATAGCTTCAATAATGATGGTGTCTGCTTGAACCAGGAGGCTGGTTTTCATTGATAAGCCTGATAATACCCACTAAGGGTGTGCAAAGCGGCCAGTATTCGATTCGGATTTGACCTGATTTGGGGGACAGCGATTCAATTTGCTGATTCAGATCACTGTCCCGATTCGATTCAGCCGAATCTGCATCTGAAGATTCAATTCTGATTCAGAGAACCAGCGATTTGACCATAGGCACAGCTTTGTTTTTTCTATGTACCTTGAGGTACCAGGTACAGCTCATGAATGCTGAGATGGTGGGGCAGATGGAGCGTCCCATGGGGGCACAGGGGGTGGGGTCCCCTGCGTGCTCGGCAGCAGACACTGAAGTGGACCAGAAGTACTCCCAAAACCCAGCCTATTTCTTTCAAAACGCATCACTTTGCCTTTTTTACTTGAGTTTAATTTGCAGCTGTGCTACCCATTCACCTCACTGTGTTTAGAAGTTCTCTCTGATCTCAAAGAACCTAAACTCTCTTCCTTCATCATGTCTTGCCAAACTGGTCACCCCCATTTCCTGGCCAGTAGGGAATACAGTAATAATGTTACTGTAACATAAGTAATGTTACTGAATTCTAATATAGTAAGGGGCTTAGTTTGTCTGTCTGTAATGCTTTTGGCCAATTGCACATGTGTAGTTTTAAACTTGGCACGTTTGTCTCCCAGTAGGGAAACAAAAATGGCTTCAAGTTTAAAATCACAGCTTTTGCAGTTGCTTCTCTGCAGCCAGGTGGGGCCCTCCCGCAGTGGGGCTGTGGAGGCAGACAGGGGCTGAGCTGGGCCAGGCCAGCCAGGAGTGCAGCACAGTGCCATGCCGGGGGGAGGTGAGGGGCTAGGAGCGCCCTGCTGTGCTGCACAGCAAGGCAGGCAGTGATGCTGCAGGGGGCCACAGCCCCCCCAACATTCACCTTACCCCCTGAAGCCACCCCTCTTAGAGCTGCCACCCACACAAGAGGCATAGCACGGCACTCCTGGCCCAAGCCATCCTGGCCCCATGCACAGCTGCAGGGACACAGCCAGGCAGCAGCTCCTTCCTGGTCAGTGCAGGGGGTTGTGGGGAGCGAGACAGAGACATGGGCAGCTGGAAGGGGGCTGCCTATGCATGATGGAGAGTAGGGGAGATCCTGGGAGAAAAACGTGTGTGTACAAGCGCATGCATCTCTGTGCATGCATGTGTGTCTGTGCGCATACGTCAGGGCATTTGTATGAATCTGCTTGTGTGTACATGTCTGTTCATGTTTGTGTCCATGTGCAGAGTGAGCAAGTAGAATGCACACCCATCTGTGTGTGCACGTGCGTGTGTCTGTGCATGCGTGCATGTGTCTGTTCATGGCAGGAGAGAGTGTGTTCGTGTTTGTGTCCATGTGCAGGGTGAGTGAGTAGATTGAGTGCCCATCTGCGTGTGCACACGCATGTCTGTTCATGCCAGGAGGGACAGTGTGTTACTTAATACTTCCCAAAATTTTTATCCAAAAGTTATACTAAAGATATCCAACTCCTTCAGTGGTTTTCAGGACTTTTAAAATTGCAGTAACTAAAAAAAAATCACGTTTCCTACTTGTATTTTGCTCAGGGCTGCTTGTATCTGTCATGCTGCCAAAAATCTCCTGAAATTGAATGGCTAGATATAAACTGATAAGCACATCCCATAAAGTGTTCATATTCCATAAAGTCAGCAGAAAGATACACTGAACAGTAAGATATTGGAGTCTGGATGGCAGTCTTAAGCTGCTGACTCTGGTTTGGCCAGCAGATGCGACAAATCTAGAAAACTTTGGTTCAGTGTGTAGGGGCAATGGAAACGCATGTGCATTGCCTCAGCCCCTTAATGGACTGATTTTTAGACAGTGTAACTAGTGCAGTGTCACACTTTCTGTGAAGGGGGTTATTCAAGCCCACGAACACATTGTTTTAGTATGTTGCACCTCTTTTCTCGACTAGTGGTTCTCAGCCTTTTGGACTTACTGCACCAATCTAACTTTCTTGATTTTCAAAAACTTGTCATTTTACGTCTACAGAAACACAATAGAAAAATTCTTCTGTTGCAAAGAACTCAGAAAGACCACAAGTCAGAATATTTTTTATGCTATTTGTGATCTCTGTGTTTATCGTGTCTATCATATGCAGGTATTTGCATATCTAACAACGCTAATATTGTGCAGAGCTCTTAAAAGGATCTCATGGCACCACAGTTGAGAATTGCTGCTCTAGAGGCTGGACCACCAAGGATAGCAACCTTGTCCTGCTAATTGTTGCATTTAACCAGCAGTAGATATCTAAATCCTGCTGATAAGGAAAGGAAGAAGCTTTTACAAATGTGCAGAACAATTTTTCTTTTTAAAAAGCTAGGAAGCTATACAAAAAGCATCATACAAAGTTTATTATACTTCGGTTGCAGAGCCAAGCGTGCAAAAAGTTGCAAAATGTCAGACTAAAGGGTGGCTGTACCTTAAGCTCCACACAATTTGCAGGGACCAATGTTTCCTCATACAAGGGGCTGATTTTCAGAAGCCATGTGATCACCATAGAAGTCAGGCCTCTTAAAATGCAATTTTAAAATGCTGACTATTAAGTTTATTGAGGCACTCGTTACCTGATGTAATATACAATCCTTAAGAGTTAAAATAAAAAGATAAGCTTTAGACATCCCCTTACCTAGCTTATGTGGTGTGAGGGAAGTGGTGTCTGTTAGCTCCAGAACAGATAAATGTTGCAGATTGGATTCCCTAAAGGAGAAGAAAATAGCGTAAAAAGAGAAATGTCTCCTGTGGTAATGTCTGAACACTGTCCAACTCAACCCCGCTCCCACCCGCAACCTAAAAGTAGTAAATGCAGGGAGTGGGTGTCATTTAAAAAGTTAAATGTCAATTTACAGTTTTCAGACAAGCTCTACCATAAGTCTTGATTCTTAAATACGAACGTTTTATGCAAGACTGAAAGGAGAAGTTAATTTGTTTTTCAGCTAGTTTATGAATGGTAAAAACCAATTTTGTACTTAATATAGCCAGACCAGGTACTTGGTGTTTCACAACGTTTAATGGATCAAACCCAGCATTAATCACTAACTACTAAATCACATACCTAAGCAAAGCAACATCCACCCCCCAACCACAGAAGACAGGGGAAAGATTTCATGAGCTATTTTGAAGGAAGTGGTATTCAGGGATGTCATCAACAAGTATAGGCATTTTCCCAGAGTTCTGAATCTTCTACAGAGACAGATGCAACAGAAAATAAATCTAGGAGACCCACTGACAAAATAGTTATATAAACATCAAGATTCTTTCTACCCTTTACCCCAAAAGGCCTTTTTGTTCATGTTTTGCAATTAGAGCTCAAGCCAATTCTCCATCTGTCTGGAATGGCATTTCAGATCTTCCAAAGGATTTACATGGACACTATCACCACATTATCAACTGGAGGGAAAACAGGGAACATGAAAACTTACAGCGTGTCAACAGGAACATCTGATGCCAAACACTGACTCGCCCATCTAATCACGTAGTAAGACAGCAGCAGAGGAGACGTGCGATGCAACAGGTCCTGCTGTGACTGGAACAGCTGTCCCCCGCCCAATATCATCTGCAAGGAAACCAAAGCACTTGGCACTCCAACAGAGGCCAGGGATTACAAACAACTTTAGGTCAGAGAGAAAGACAGCAACATAGCAAGGGGCATTAGCAAGATCAGTGTAAACACCAACTTGTTTACTGCTATTGCAAAAGTTATCATGGGGCTTAGGTCAAACAGGACAATTGCACCTGCATGAAACCAAATGGAGGTGCAAATTGCAACTCATTTTATTTTGGTGCAAGCCTGTTAGCTAAGAAAGGGAAAAATCAACTGGGAGTGTGAATTACTCTTCCTTGGACTGAACACTTCCAAGCATGTGTCTATAGTTCTGTTTTTACCAGCACAGCTTTCAATTAAAAGGTGTGACTTTCTTAGCCAAATAGTTATACCTGTAAAAGCCCCAATGTGGATGCAGCTATATTGGTACAGAGGTGCTTCAGTGCAGCTCTAGTACCATATTTACTCAAACCCAAGACAACACCCTCAATAATTAGATTCTCTGCATGAAAAAATTATAAAATTTACTATAATTTTTCCATGTATTCCATGAATCTAATTATTGGAAAGTCAACTTAAATTTCTCTCCCCCACTATTGCAGCAGGGAAAGCAGTGGCAGGGGGCAGGCGGTGGAGTGGAAGACTGAGGTGGTCAAGTAGCTTTGAACCTGGAGCATGAAGCACATGTTTACCCCAGCCCCAGCTGCAACCCCAGCCTGGCAACTACAGCCCTGGCTCTGGGGCTCAGACGCTGGAGCTGCCACTGCTACTACCATCAATCTGGCTCTAGCCCAGAACAAGCACTGCTCCATGCCCCACATATGCCAGGGTCCCCCATGTATGTGGGGGTGGGGAAGGCAGCAGCTATGGCTCCAGCTCCACTGCTGCCCTGTCCTCCTACCACCTAGTACTTGAATCCAAGGTGAGGGGCTCTCCCTCCCTCCCCCCATGTTAAATGGCAGGGGAGAGGGAGGATCTCATATTGGTTTCAAGTAAATATTGTAATTGCCTTTTTCACACTACAATAGTGATACTAGTTTGATACATCTTTATATTTTCAATAGGATGGGGTGGGCAAATATTTGGGCTAGAGGGTCACTTCAGTTTTGGTGAGCTGTTGATGGCTGTGTGCGCACATACTCACCCCCCCCCCAACCCAGCCAAGCCAAGGCTGATGCCAGAGCAGCACCAAGAGTGGGAGCATGAGCCTGCCCAGGGCTGTAGCACCTTACTCTGTAGCTCTCTCCCCGCACCTCCACCACTTCCCCCTGCATGCTGGCCAGCTTAGCTGACACTGGCAAGCAGGAAGGGGGCTGAGAGCCATGCTGCACTTGGAGGAGGGGCCATGGCATTCGCAGCCCCATGGAGCTGGGCTGCAGAGGAAGGGAGGGAATGCCCCCACCTCTTGCGCCCTGCCCCTCCCCCCCCAGCTGTGCAGACCAGGACAGGGATCTCATCTGCCCCCTTCGCTCACCCCCCTGCTGTATGATGCTGGGTATGGCTCCAGACTCTGCAGGGGACACTGGGCAGAAGCAGCCCTGCCCACCTACCCACCTGCTTGGAACCATGGGGTCAAAGTCCATTTTTCAGGCTGCCATGTGGTGCTGGGCAGGCAGGGCTGTTTCTGCCCAGTGTCTCCTGCTGTGCCATCAAAGTCCTGAGCTGGAGCCGCTGCCTGCGGGCCAGCCAATTGATTCTATACAGCCTACAGGCAACTCCGTCTCCTGCCTCTGCTGGTGCCACAGGCCAGATAGAAACAATTGGTGGGTCAGATATAGCCCATGGGCCATATTTTGCCCACCCCTGTTCTATAGCTATATCCATACTAGAAGGGGCTATACTGCTTTAACTACAAGTCTATGCTAGAAGGTAGTACAGCTCTAGTTAAGATCTCAGCCTTAAGTCTCCTCTATATGACAGAGAGATGGGAAAAAATTGGAGAAGTAGCCCTGGAGGGGAAGTGGCTTGCAAATGGTGCATTGGAAGTGCTGTTCGCCAAAGGGGTACAGATGGAATGTCTTGCTTAGTGCTGGTTTAGTACTCTGTATTGCAGACTAATATTGCAGTGGTGATGCAAGAGTGCTGGACTGCTGCCTTCTGAGGTGCAAAAGAACTCAAAGGAACTAGGGTGAGGAGAAAAAGAGCACAGCTAAACTTTGAAGAAATCTGTGAAGCTTCTAATATTTGTGGAAGGAGAGAGACAGCTGCCACATATTGTACAGTGAGCAGCTTTGCCAAATCTACTCACAGCATCTCCTAGCCTCAGAAGCAGCTGCTGTAAAATCAACAGGTCCCGGCAGATAAGGAAGCGGATTGCAGAGATCTTGCACACTCCTTGGCATACCACATTCACTGCAGTGCCACTGCCATAGAGCTGGGAGAGGTTCATTCTCACATTTAGCGGTTGAACTGGAAGAAATTAAAAAAAGAAAAGAAAAGAAAAGGAGAGAGTAAGAGTAAAAACTAACAGAAGTGCAATGTTCCCTAACTGCATCCACCTAATTAGACAAAATGAAATATTCATCATACTATCACCTCTTTCCATTTCTATCTCTGTCTCATAGTCCATCTCCCGGATGAGCATCCCAATGGCTTGGATCGGGTTTCTGATTTCCTGCAATTTGCTATGAATGTCTTCCATCACATTCTCTCTGCAAGTATAATCAATTCACCAACAGTGAGCGATTTAATTTTAAAAGGGACCTCCCCAACAGTACTTTGGTAATAACAAACCCAAAAGTGAACCTGTATGACCCCAACAGATGCTGCATAGTGGAAAATCCCTTCCCTTGTAATGAGACATACCTCTGAACCATTAAGCATCATACTCAACACAAGTTGCTTGCTTCCCTCCCTCCCACGCTAGAGAGAAACTGTACTTAGCCATGTATACTGATGCTCCAAATGATGGTGCGATGCGGTCCTTTTTGAGACAGCCACTGCACAGCACAAAAACACATCCTTTTTAAGATTGGTCTAGGATTCAGACCATGAGTCACAGGCAGGTTTGAATACCTGTGATGTGTTTTTGTGCTGTGAAGAGGATTATCCAACTAGACACTGGTGCTCCTGCTTCTTGGCACCATGGCTCAAAATTCCTGACAACTTTTATCAGTGCTGAGGATTTTGAAAGGCATCTTAGAAATTCATTACCATAAAGCCCATTCAAAGTCACTGACATACATTTTATGGGATTTTAAAAACATATATTTCAGGAGGCTCTTTAGAGGCATTTAAAATAGATACAGCCTGGTCAAGTAGCTCCTAGATGAATCCTTTCACAAAACACATTTTATCCAATGAGATCCCTTACATGTCACTGGCTATCAAGTCTTCCAGGATTTGTTCTGCAGCCTTTTCTGGAGGCTGAAGACGGGAGCAGGCCATTTCCATGACCAATGCCATTTCCATGGAAATGGACTCTCCAATCAGTCGAAGGCACTGGACAAGACAGACGACATCACGAGAGACCTCCAAATCTGGAATGAAAGAATCTACTTGTATTCTTGGAGAACACAGCTTAGAAGAAAGGGAAAGGCAGTTCAAAGCCAAGTTAGTTGAGCTCATCCCACACAGAAGGACGGGCTATCAGCAAATTAGTCTTGAACTCCACAGTTGACATGGCAAGAACCGCGTGGCTCCACCTAGTAACAATAGGAAACTCCCCTTCCAAGATGCTTCTTCAATTATGGAAGCTAGATAAAAATAAAGCTAAACAAATGGGCCAAGAGAGCCAAAGCAGGACTCGATGTCCCTGCCTCCTGACTGGTGCAGTCTCCAGTCATTCAAAATTATGACAACTTAGTAGACAACATAATTCTGCAGAATAGCTTGTGTCATGAAGACTACAGCCTCTCCTTGCTGACTTCAGTGACTTGTCCCACAAAGCTGTACAACCATCCAATTTCTCAGAACCTTGTAAGGCCCAAAAATCAGACCTCAAGAACATTGAGAAATCAGCATAAGCCTGTAAAGTCTGCAAACTCCAGTCTGCATTTTTCAGCTATGGAATGGGACCATAGTGCCAGAGACTATGCTGGGTAGTCAGTCCTAAACTGTACCTTCCCACAGGACACCCCTCCCAATTACAGCAGTCATTTCATAACAGTTGATGCAATCACTAGATATGGTTAAGCTGACTGGGGAGAGGTACCTTTGAGGCTCTTGATGAGGTCACAAAGTAGCTCTAGCACTGGACAAACATGAAGCTAGAAACAGAATGAATATGTGGATTCACTAGATGTATTCTAATCAGGCATTTTTCATTGGATAAGGCTGGATTTTAATCTTTTGGGCATCACTTACAATTTGCAAAATATCAAGGAGCTGCTTAGAGGACAACAAAAAAGCTGCATAATCATGGCTGCCTTCACACCCATCATCCGCTGCGAACAAGAGACCACTGCCACACTAGTAAGTCAAATCCTAGACCAATTATAAGAGTATCAGGCAGGAGAAACAAAATGATGGCCTCTGGTTTCCTTCAGGTCAAGCAGAACCCAGGGCTTTTGCTATGATGGCATTGTAAAATATTGAGATACAATAACAAAAAACCTACAACATCATCCTCAAAGAAGGAAAGGCAGGTTTCCATCACTGAGGACTATCATGGGGCTCAGCCAGAAGTCTGGAATTCCACCCACTGATTTATCTGAGCAAATCATAGCAATCCTATAAGCTTCATACTCTGAGTGGGCTGCTTCTTCATACTCTAATTCAGGGGTGCTCAGCCCAAGCCTGCACACCAGATCTGGACCCCTGTGCCTTGTCATCCAGTCCATGATGAGCCCTGTGGGCTGTGGCCCTACACTACAGATCCAGTACACCATGGTGTGGGGCCCAATGCCAGCATGCAGGACTGGGCAGAGGTAGCGCAGGGCCCAATCTCACTGCAAAGAGCCTGGTGGAGGCAGAAATTTACCACTGGATTAAAACTAAGCAAGGATAAATTGAGCCCAAATAGCTAGTTTTAAAAAATATGGTCTGAGCACATAAAGAACCTAGAACACCCGTGGGAACTACTATAGTTTAAAGTCTGTAACACAAATGCACTATTTTCCTCGTCCCTTTCCCCTCCCCAACAATCTTACCATCAAAAATAGCACTCTCATCCTCAGTCAACAGGTGCTCTTCAGGCAAGAGATACAGGTGATCCACCAGGCAACAGGGTACAAGAAAAGACAGGAAACCCTGGAAAGGTAAAAAATCATCACTCCTTTCATTTCTAAAACAATCCTTGGTCAAGAAGATGCAGTGGAATTCCTTCAAAAACTCTGCAACTAACTGTGCCTAACTGTAACAAATAAAACTCCTCTCTGTAGCGCAGCATAGATCTAACTCCATTTCTCACCTTTTTTAGCAGGCACACCATGTTAGTATATGGATTCAGGTGCAGAGCAAGAGGGCGTGAGAGTGCTTCTTGGTACTGAAGACAACAGGCATAGAACTTGGACCAGAACTCAACTTGTAACTGTCGAAACTCTTCCTGTGAGAACTCATACTCTGTCACACTTCCTTGGAGCTGGCAAGAATGAAAAAGGACTTAAGCACTTCCCCCAAAGTTACAGTTCAACAGTTCTAAAAATTCTAAAATTATTCCTAAACAAGATGGTTTAAAAGCAGGGGTGTCCACCTCACCACCTACCCTGGACCAGATCTAGACCATGGGGCTCCCTGCACGCCAGATTCAGACCAGCGCACCGGATGGCTCCACTGGTGGTACGAATTGCAACTCCAGCTCCTGCGACATGGAGTTGGAGTGGCTGCCACCAACACATTTCATGCCAGGTTGGCAACTCCAGCACAGAGTACATGGCAGCTCCAGCTATGGATCTCACATGGGGCAAAGGGTACAGGGCAGCGACAGCAGCAGGCCTGGAGGCCAAGGTGGCAATGGGCAAAGCAACCAGAGGGCAACCAGGGCAATGTCAACTCACATTGGCAATGCATAGGGGGTGAACAGGGGTGCATGTGCACCCCCTGACAGCAGCATCCCTGGGCAGGGGAGAGCACTGGTGGCCCACCTGAGAGCTCCGGCCAGGGAGCTGCCAGGTGCGGATCAGCAAGGAGGGGGGAAGGGCGGCAGGCAGGGAAGACACGGATGGGGACGGGACGGGACACACACAGACACCCCCACGTTGCTGACTGTCTGCTGGGGGGTGGCAAGTACCCCCCTGACTCAGGAGGCACCAGTCGCCCATGTCAACTCGCACTCACCCTCCTGCCACTAATGGTGATGTCCAACTGGGCCCCAAAAGGCCCCAGATTCTCTGGCAAGCCCCCCAACCACACCCTCCAGCTTCCAATAGTCCATTGGTAGCCTGATGGTCCAAATAAAGTGGCTCAGCAGGCCAGATCCAGCCTGTGCACGGGCCAAATGTTTGACAGCCCTTGTTTAAAATATCTACCTGCCATTCTAAAAAGTTAATAATACATCAAGGAGTCTATGCCTTAAGGTTGCTTCAGCTGTGGATTTAAGCACAAATTGCATATAAAGCAAAAGGCTTCTGCAGTGGCTGAAGCTCAGAGCAAGAAACAAGCGACCATATCCTCGATATTTAAAAGAACCACTGAAAGCAATTTAAGAAGAAAGCCTACATTTGAGCTAGTGGAGTCAGCTGCCAACATACCTCAGGAGAAAATTAACCTGAAATTAAGGGACTACTTGAACAAGCATGTGCCAAATGCTGGCAGTCCCCCATGTGCAAACAAGCTTCACCGGGATTTTCTACCAGGGGCAAATGCTTCACATGTTCATTCTGCAAAATCTGCATTGGCAGAATATGACTCGGTTTTAATTGTAGCAGACAAAGCACCAGATGCCCAGGATAATTATGTTCTCCACATTTTATTTGTACTTGGGAGCTAGAAAGCCCGTGACCTGCCTGTTTTTCAAAGAGAGTTGATTCAACTCACGTCTGTATATTTTTCAACTGTAGCACAAGCGGTAGCAAATGCTGTTGCAAACTACAGCTTAGAATTTAACAAGAGCTCAGCATTTCTGTCTGATAATGCAATGTATATGAGCAAAGTTTTCTCTGATGTGTTCCATGGAATGATGCCCAATGCAATTCATGTTACTAAAAAAAGAATGCATGAGTTGCAGGTAAGTGATATCTGGTACACACATTTTCCCGATGGACAGACTGGTTTCCTCTCTTAAAAAGGCATTCAAACATTGCCCAGGCGGTAAGCTTCAATATTGGGAGTCCATTGCCAATCAACACAGGGAACTAAATGCAACTGTGTCACTTCCACCAGAACCAGTGCTTACAAGGTGGAATTCATGGTTTAATGCAGTTTGTTTCCATGCAAAGAATATTAAGTACTGCCAGAATTTGTGCACAAGTCTGAAATCACACCAGGAACAAAGTGTATGCTTAAACTACACAATCTCTTAAAACAGGGTGATACTGAAGATCAAATTAAGTTTGTGGCTCAAAATGCGATCTGGTTCATGGAGCATCTAATGTGGTTTGAAAGTTGGCAGGCTTTGACTCACTAAACACACACGAAGCTGATGAATTTGATAAACTGGATCAAAGACATGGCATCACAACTTTCAGACTGTTAAAGTGAAAACCAGCAAAGACAAGAACTGTTCCAGGCAGTAGCTACAAGGTTGAATTAATACAAGTATTGTTACCACTTCAGTTTAAACTGGCTGCCCTTTTTTTAGTGCTGTTCTCGTTTTTGACCCAAAATCTGGTGCCTTTTCTGAGTTTTGACCCTGAGCTACTTAAATCAATCCCTGAATGGCAGAAAGAGCATGAAGAATGTGCTGCTTATGTGAACTTTGTCAAAAAACGCCAAATACCTTTGATGGTGACTGTGTTTTGGGATTCTGGAATTGTTTGATTGGTTTCCACATCTCTACAACTTGGCAAAACGCTGCTGTACAATCCAACCAATTCAGTGGACACAGAGCATGCAATCTCAGTGTATGGATAAGAATTCACACCACAGACAGAAGAGGTCAGCTGCAACTGCTGGTGGATGCTGCATGCTAGCATTTAACTACTAACATGAACTGTTTCTGCCCAGGTTAACAATTTAGTATTTGTGAACTTTTTGTAAAACACTAATAATAAATTGTATGTTACAATGCATACTGTGCATGATTTACACTCATAATTTATTTAAATTTAGATTTAGCTTTAAATTTAAGGCTTAGATTTATAATAATACAGTAATTTATATGATAGTTCTGTGGAATTTGCTATTTAATTATGTGGTTTTGTCTCTGCCAATCAGCAGCGAGGAATAAGGCCACTGCAAAATGCCTCCAAAACTGGCTCTGCATGTCATAAGCAGGCTGCAAAAAAACCTTTGTCTTGCCACAATTTAGACAGGTCTCCAATCATGGGCTTCGGCCCATCAAGGAAAACTATAAGCCTCCCTTAAAAAGAGAGGCCACTATGGACACATGAATTAAAGACGGGGGGACAAATATGGAGAAAACAGGTAAGCAAGTGAGGTCATAGGTTAACAACAAGGGACCTGGAAGGGGACAACAGGCAGAGCCTCCTGCCCCCTGAACAAGTTGAGGGACCCTGTGGAAGCTGAATGGCACTTCATATGTTTTTATGTTACACTACTTTGGAAGGACAGAATTGACAGAAAAAGGTGACATACGTATGTCAAAAATGCATACATTTGCTCCTTGGTTCATGAGGAACAAAGCAGCAGATTGGAGGGTATTTGAGTGAAGATAAAAGATGAACAGTACAGTAGTGCTACAGTGGTAGAGATCTGTTATACACCACCAAGTCAGGAAGAAGAGCTGGATGAGGCATGCTTCACTGAAGTGACAAAACTACTCAAAAGTTATGACATGGTACTGATGGGAGACATCAATTTTCTACATATTGCTAGAACAACAACGCAACCAAATATAAAATGCTGAACTAGTTCCTAACTTGGAGGGAGAACAACTTATGACTAAGGGATCATCTATCCTGAATCCTGTCCTGACCAATATGGAAGAATTGGAGGAAGTTGTGAAGACGGCGGGAAATCTGGGAGGAAGAAATCACAATGTGAGAGAACTCATGATCCTGAGCTGAGGAATGCATGAGATCAGCAAAACAAAACTAAAGAACAAGCTGAGAGTAGAGGTAACAGGACACAGAGAGCTTTTGATACATTTAAATCAGGGTGGGCAACTATTTTGGCTGGAGGACCGCTAACTGAGTTTTGTTAATCTGTTGAGGGCTGCAAGAATAGCCCTGCCCCTTGATAGGTGCCCGCCCCCTGGTCACCATCTTGGGACCAGAAGTCCCATCCCTAACCCCTGCTACTGAAAATCCCTCTACTTGCCCCTGAAAGTACTTTTGGGAGGGGAACCCTGAAACTAGAAAAAAAACCAAATCATTTATTAAAAGTCAAACACCTACTATAACATACTTTAATTTTATTACAAAAAAATATTTTTGCCATGATTTGTTTGCGTGTACTGTATATAGAGGTGACTGCATAATAACTCAAAAATAAAGCCTTACTCTTGGTATATAGCGTGTGTGTGTGTGTGCGTGCGTGTGGCACAGGGTATGTTGGGGGAGTGCATATGTGGAGGAGTTGTGGAGGCAGGGTGTGGGTGTGTGAGGACCTCCCATGGCACAGTCCCCATTGCCGGTGGCAGCAGCAGGCACTCAGGGCACTCAGGGCCCACGCAGGTACACTGCTACCCGGTGGTGAATGGCAAGAAGCACAGCCAGGCTGGCCTGTCTCTATCACGTGGGACTCCCTGTGGCTCGTGCAGCTCCTGGCACTCAGGTGCCACTGGGGGAAGCCCCACATGATGGAGCCAGCTGCCTTCCCTGCCCCACACCATGCAGGTCCTGAGACACCGCCATAAGTGTCCTGGCAAAGTCCCAGGACCTTTATGGCATAGAGCTGGGAAGGCAGCCAGCTCTATCATGCAGGGCTTCCCCAAGTGGCATACAAGTGCCGAAAGCTGCATGGCATCATGGAGAGCTCTGAGCGACAGAGGCGGACTAGCTTGGCTGCGCTCCTCGCTACAAGCCACCAGGTAGCAGCGCCTGTGTGGTCCACAAGCACTTGCCACCTGCTGCTGCCGCCAGCGGCAGGGGCTGTGCACCATGGGGAGTGAATGTGTAGGAGGTCCCCACACCTCCCTCACACCCACATCCTGCCCACCCAAGCTCTGTGCTCCTGCCACCCCCCTGAGCACAGGCTCCACACTTCCACCAGCCTCACGCTCTCTGTTCCCACCCATCTGCAGCTTCCCCACCTGCTGCCCAGAGCGAGTAAAGCAGCAGGAAGATGAGGAGGAGCTGCTGGATGCCAGGGAAGCCAAACGTCCCCTGGCAGCTGCACCAGGGGCAGCAGCAACTCCGCCAGGAAGATGCATGCTGGTTGGGATGACCCTTACGCACACAAGGATGGGAGCAAGGTACCCTGCCCAGCCTGCATACAGTTAGTTGATGGGTGCCCGTGGGCCAAATGAAGTTGCCTGGTGGGCTGGACCCAGCCCATGGGCCATATTTTGCCCACCCCTAGGCTAAATGAATTCAAGTCAGCAGGGCCTGATGAGCTTCATCCCAGGGTACTGAAGAAACCATCAACAAAAATCTTGGGGCCCTTGGCAATAATATTTATGAAATTATGGAACACAGGTGAGGTACCAAAGGACCAGAAAAAGGTCAATATAATGTCCCTCTTTTAAAAAGGCATAAAGGAGGACCTAGGGAATTGCAGACAATTTAGCCTCACCTTGGATACCCAGGAAGTTACTGGAGCATATCCTAAGGAAATCCATTTGCAAGCATCTGGAAGGGGAAAGGCTGATCACAAGCAGCCAGCAACGATTTCCTGAAGACAAACTGTGGAAAAAACACTTGATCTCCTTCTTCAACGAGATAAGTTGGGTGGATGAAGGGAATGCAGCAGATACAGACTAGAAATCAGGAGGCGCTACTTCACAGTCAGGGCGACCAGGAGCTGGAACCAACTTCCAAAAGAAGTGGTGCTGGCTCCTACCCTGGGGGTCTTTAAGAGGAGGCTAGATGAACACCTTGCTGGGGTCGTTTGACCCCAGTTTCTTTCCTGTCATGGCAGGGGGTTGGACTTGATGATCTGTCAAGGTCCCTTCCGACCCTACAAACTATGAAATTATAGTGCAACTGGATTCACCAAGGCTTTTGAGAAGTCCCACACAAACTTCTCATAAACAAATGAGAGACATGAAACAACATGAGGGAGGATGAAACAACTCTAAGGTGGATAAACAACTGGTTCAGTAGCCACAAGTAAAGGGTAATTATTAACAGGTCCATGTCAAAATAGCAGGCTTCAAGTGGACTTCCACAGAGATCTGTCTTGGGCCCAGTGCTGCTTAACATGTTATTAAATTAAAAATTTGGATGCTGGAATAGAGAGCTTCCTGAGGAAGTCTCCAGATGACAAAACTGGGAAGGACTGTAGACACTGGAGGACAGGAGCACAAGTCAAAAGGATAGAGCTAACAGAATGGAGCTGAATGCTCAGAAATGCAAGATGAGAAGAAGAATAAAAAGCACAAGATGGGTAAGAACTGGTAGGATGGCAGCACTAGAAAGAAGAATCTAGGAGCCTTGGTGGATCACAGACTCAGTACAAGTCCACAGCACGACACCGCTGCACAAAAGGCAAATGCAGTTTTGCGCTGCATCAACAGAAGCATTAAGTGCAAGACATGGGAGGTGATAGTGCCTCTCTATTTAGCACTAGCTAAGCTTCACCTAAAGTCCTGTGTGTACTTTTGGGCTCCACATTTAAAGATATGGTGAAATTGGAGAGGGCCCAAAGGAGGGCAACAAAAATGATAAAGGGCTTAGAAGGCAAATCATATGCTGAGAGGTTGAAAGAATCAGGCATGTTCAGCTTACAGAAAAGGTGCTTAAAGAAGGGACAAGATAGCAGTCTTCAGGTATCTGAAGGGCTACCATGAAGAAGAGGGAAAACAGCTTCTCTTTTGCTGCCAAGAGCAGGACATGGACAAGTGGCTTGAAACTGCAGCAAAGTAGGATATCAAGACAAACTTCTTCACTATGAGAAGCGGAACAGATTGCCTAGGGAAGTTGTAGAATCTCTTCCACTGGAAGTTTACAACAGGATGTTAAATAAGCACTGGTCCGGGATCATCTACAAATAGCCATGCCTGGAGTGTTCTGTGGTCAGAAACAGACTTAAGAGACAACAAGAAGAGCAGGTGGATATTAGAGAGGGCATTGCTCAGCAACAGGAGAATGAAGTAGAGCTCTATAACTGGTTTAGTTATGAAAGGTTAAAGAAGCTGGGATAAGATTATGCAGGGGAACTCTGGCTGTCAATTTAGAGGATGTAACATCTGGTTATGTTTACCATCCCAAGATGCAGAATAAAATTGAGGGTGTTTGGTTTTTCCCATGCTTCTGGAATTTTCTGGTTCCCACATGGAGCTAGGAAGGATTTTTCCTCCCCTCCTGTTGCTATAGGTGTCTGGGGTTTTCACCCTCCTCATAAGTATTGGGTGCTAGCTACAGCCAAGGCTGGGGATTTTGACTAGGATGTGTAAAAACCAAGGTTCCCAATTAGAGATTTGCCCCTCTGCTCAGGGTCAAACTGATCACATTTGGGATCAGATGGATGGTACCAGGTCCCTCCGCAGGCCAGATCTGGTCAATGGGCATGATCTGGCTGTGGGGGGTTGCACAGCCTGACACCAACATATGCCAGGGGCAGGGTAGAGCAGTCCCAATCTGGACATGCAGGAGGGAAGCAACTCATCCTGGTCCGGGTGCATAGGGTAGGGCAGGGCAGGGCAGGGCAGCCCTGATCCAGATGTGAGGTGGGGAAGAGTGGCCCTGATCCAGATGCAGTGAGGGAGGAAGGCACCCCCCGCCACTCCGCAAGCATCCCATTCACAGTTTGGATGCATAGTGGGGAGGGTATCGAGCAACCCTGATCTGGGTGTGCAGGTGGCAGGAGGAATAGTACAGCCCAATCTGGACATGTGGGATGTGGGCATGGCCCTGATCCCACTGCACAGGCAATGGCCTAGATGAGGCTAGAGCCAGCCACGCAGAGCTACCACCACTCCCCACTGCTAAGTTTCTGATCCTTGGGTTAACAATGTGAGCCAAACGTTATGGCTCCATAGCTCAGAGGTTAAGCACTCCTGGTATAAACTGTGGGGGCAGTTGCTTCCTCTGTAGCGGGGGGCATGGCCCTCTTCCCTCAGACTTCTTGAGTGCATTTTAATGGCTCTAGCCACAGCAGGACACTGAACACCCTTGTTCCTCTACTTTTACTGTAACAGGTTAGGGTGTTTTTGGTGTCTTTGGGCAATATGCCTTGTAGTTGTACAATAGATTGATTGTGTAGTTTTACGAATAGGTTAGACAAGAATTTACATGGGATGGTTTGAATACGGATGAGCCTGCCTCGAAAAGATGGCTGGACTAGATGACCTCCAAAGGTCTTTCCCAGCCCTATGTTTCCATGGTTTGTGGATATACATTTTTAATTCTATGCAAGGCATTAGAGCTGCTACAATATCAGACATTTGATGAAAAGCTTAACAGAAACCTCACCTCATTTTCAACAGCTAACGTAACCTCTTTTCTCAGTTCATCCCAGGAGAGATCCAAGATTCTCTCAGTTCCTCGAGAAAATATCTAGAAAAACAGATTACAGGACAGTTCTGTAATGGACAAACAGATCTGCATTTCAAATTTACAGCAGTGCACGAAGACACACAACATATTAGCAAGCTCCACCCCCAGTGGCAATGCGTAGGGGGTGCACGCGCACCCTCTGATGGCCGCGCTCGCCACTTAGGCGATGGGCCGGGGGGGAACAGGGGAACGCTGGTGCCCCCACCATGCAAGTGCCGGCAGAGTGCTGCAGCCGCTCCCAGAAGTAGACGCAGCCACTCCCGAAAGCGGCTGCAGCAATCGGCTGTCATGGGATCATCCGGGTACCCCTACCTGCCCAGCTGCAGGATTGCCTGCAGGGGGGGCACGTACTCCCCGACTAAGGCGGCACCAGTCACCCATGCTCCCCACTCAGTTCAAAGGCAAACACAAACACCCAGAAAAAAGAAACACGAAGTAGAGTGATGTCTCGTTAACGACCAGATGTGCAATCATTGAAGGCACGCTGCTGTATAAGAAGTTGCCAGCAAGCCACTAAAAACCGAAGTCACAGATTGTTCATTGGTGCCTGCACAGAGGCTTCCACAAGGTTTCCTCTAACTTCAACTCTTGCTTTTGTTCCCTGCTCCTTCCCACAGGTCTCTGAGAGAGCATCCCTTGAATGGGAGAGCAAGACAGTGAAGTTATCGAACAAGAATAATAGTGAGGAAAATCTATAGTTTTTCATCAAAAAACTATAGATTTTGTCCACTGATCTCTGAAGTGTTCTCTGGAATTGATAGGATACATCTTCCAGAAGCTATCATGGTGCAGACAGAAAAATACCACCAAGCTGAGTTTAGGATCTCGTCTAATTTAGCCAAAGAATACCTGAGGAAGTCAAGGCCAGGGGCTAGCTTCTGCCCAAAGGGAGAAACTTGTTGACAAGTTTGGGAGCCCAGACTTGTCAACAAACAAGTCTGGGATCCCAAAGTCTTCCTGTAATAACTACAAGATTTAGCTGGGGATATCAGACATAACTTAAGGGTAGCTAAGCACTAGAGAGGCTGTGGAACCTCACCCATCTGAAGAACTTAGGTGCAATGGACATAAATAATATTCCAAGATGGTTTAGAAGGGACCTAGTCTTACTTTTATATGACACTATGGTGTATTTGTGCTGGCCCCAGTCCACTAGTTTAAGTGAGAGCAATCATAAGTATAATGCCAATCATTAGTATATGCTGAGATCATATGGCACATGAATTGGTGGTGCACATATTGGTTGACAGCTCCTTATATTCCAGGATTTTCAGCTGGCTGGTTTATGCACCTGGAGTGGCACAAAGTGGCTAGAAAAGAAGAACAGTGAAAATTCCTCACTAACCTGCAAAGCTTTAAGTACAGCAGCATTTGTGAACCGACCAGGCATGAAGAGATATTCCAAATATGTTTCCTAGAAGAAAACAAGACAGCAATTTCAAGAAACATTTACTCAAGAGCACAAAGAGGGCAATTTCTAATTAGTTTTTTATGCAAAGTTCCTAAATTCTAAAGCTTGCCTGCAATTATTATTATTTCCTTCAGATCTATGTAGTTTATGCCATCTCAAATCCAGCACAACACAGTGGGTTTATTCTCTCATAAAGGGGGATAACTAGACAAAATAGCCAGAGATAGCTGTGGAGTTAATTTCTGTAAACTGTCAGCCTGAATGAAGAATGGAGATTTAAACAGCAATGTGAGCTCCTCAGTGATAGTCAAGCTTTTGGGTCTGCCTTAAACAGGACACGGCTCCAATGACTCCCCTGGCCAGGCTGTTCAGGTCACATGCAATGAGGACCTGCATCTTAGGGGTGCCAAGGCTAACTTCTACTCTACTTCACAGGGCATTAAAAGATCCCATTCCTTTGTCAGTCTCATTAAAATCCTCTCCTCCTAGCTCACTTGCTCAGGAGACAACCATAACTCACCATACAAACACTGCATACTGAGTTCCAACTCACTGTCAGCACAGAACTGAGAAGTTTAGCATTATAGGTTTGTGGGCCCCTCTCTTAAAGAACTCAATTAAGCTTATAGCTTAATTTCTCTTCCTCTTCACTCAGCACTTGGGCTGACAACCATTCGTCACATTCTATATTACCTGAATACATATTAAAACTCATCTTTCACTTAATCCTGTGTTGCTTTCGGGTACAGTTTGTATAAAGGACAATAAACACATTAAAGTTATTCTGTGCAAACTGACCTGTCCCCAGTGGTCTTTCCATCTCTGTGCAGAGAGGAAGCTGCAGTACTTCTGGCTGCTATTTTAAAGCCTACACTCACCCTTGGGTCCTGGTCATCTCGAATGGTCACTTCTTCTTCAGGTAAGGGCTGCGTATAAACTTGGTTCCACTGGCCTGCAACATTTCTGGTTTGGGGGGGAAGAAATTCAGGCAGGCATGTAAACATCATCCTATGAAACAAGCAGCCTTCTAGAAGTTAGACTCAGTGGGGAATTCAGCCTTCACATTTTCACAAGTGAGAAAGGATTTTAATCTCCCATCTGCAGCAGATGACAGAACAGGGGTGAGCAATTATTTGGGCTCAAGGGCCACATGGAGTTTTGCTGAGCTGTCACAGGCTAGGTGAGCATCCCCCTCGACCCCCACAACAGCTCACCAAAACTCCCTATGTGGAATGGGGCTGGGGTGGGTAGAGTGAGTGATGTTCGGGAGCAGAATGGGCAGGTGAGCCCAGAAATCACCTAGCAGGGTCACAGGGTAGTGACAGTACAGGGCCAGGGCTAGGACAGAGACATGATCCACTGCCTGCATGCCCCTGATGGGCACCGGTTCAAGGTCATACAGGGTATGGATTATGGCTCGGCCCCAGTCCTGTCCCCACCTCTGTGCCTGGCCATGCACCCTGCTGCCTGGCTCCCAGCCAGTCTCCATGGAGACCCCAGGATCACTGGGCACTGACAGCACAGGGCCAGGACAGAGCCACAATACCCTCCCTGCACATCCCTGCCTGCAGAACTGGGCTTCTACCCTGGCCCTACACTGTCACTATCCGCAATCCTGGGATCTCTATGGAGACTGGACAGGAGCCATGCAGGCAGAGCATGTGGCTGGGCAGATGAGATGGGGCTGCAGGCAGGCAGGTAGCTGCATCTGGGGCCAGGGCAATGCTGTGATCCGCTCCCTGAACGCCACTGCCTGTGAAATCCATGCATGGAGGCGTATGCAAGCAGTGGATTGCAGCTCTGCCCCAGGCCCAGCCCCACCCACCTGTTTCGCTCCTAGATGTTGCTCTCTGCCCACCCACAGACCCATCCCAGCTGCCAGCCAAGCAACCTGCCTGTGGGTCCCACCCCGAGCAGCAGGTGTAGTGTGGACAGGCCAGGGTGTCCAGGCAACAGGGTCAGGGTCAGCAGCTGAAAGGAACCGCTGCCGGGGGGGAAAATGAAGTGTGGCCACCATGCTGCCCCAGCTCCACTGTGTGCCCAGGGATGGCGGGACTACCACACATGCCATGGTTGAGGCTGCCCCCTGCTCCTGGGTCAGGTGGGAATCAAGGGATCTGCTGCAGACCAGACAAAAATCCCTTGGTGGACTGGATCTGGCCCACAGGCTTATGTTGCTCACCTCTGTGATAGAATAATTTTAATTAACGTGACTAAATGCTATCATTTTTTTATTTTTGTTTACTTGGCTATCTGGTTAGTCCAGAAATGCATCTTGCCACCTCTAGAATCTTAAAACAAGTGCAGCATTCTGTTATCTGGATGTACTCTCCTCCATTTGTATTGAGATCTTCATTCACGAGTGAATGCAGGTGGGTGCTTTTTGAAATGTCACCCAATCAAAATGATAGATTTGTTTGTCTAAAGGGAAGCAGAACACTAGTAATACATTTTAGCCAGGCCTTTAAGTCAGTCCAGGAGGCCTAGAAATACAAAATTTGTTCATTATCCGCATAAAGCTGGACAGGCAAAAACTTTTAATTACTGGTTAAGTTATTTATCCAAAATGAACGCATTATCATTTTGTAAATATTTAGGAGCAGGCAGTGGAAAAAATAAGCTATTCAAGGCAGATTTAACTATGCCAATCTCCATTTAAATTCTTCTTTTTGTGTACATGCTATTGTAGCTTTAGTTACCATAAAACAGAATTAAAAATCTAAAATTCCCAAATGTTACAAGACAAGGAGTGATCAGATGGCATGCACCCTAACACAGCCAGGAAATCTGGTAACAAATTAACTACTCTGGAACAATCAAGGGCATGTAGAGGTAACTAATATGAAAATGAACAAATTAAAAAATAATTTTTGGCAGAAAGTTGGAGAAGAACAATCCTCCCAATTACAGTCCCACCTGATTACATCACTACCAGTCTTCATAAGACAGAGAAACTCACTGCTCAAAATTAATGTATTTCACAATGGTCTGATTCTCCTCATCATGCCACAAGGCCCAGATTTCAGCCGATGTTAGGGTAAAATCAACCAGCGTCTCCTAAGGGAAAAAAAACCATAAACGCCACAGAAACTTGATTACATGCCAAAAACACAACAGCACAGCTATGGGCTCAAGTGTATAAGCCAGAGAAACATTTGATAGTGTTATATGGTCAGCAGGAGAGCAACCTGCTAGCAAAATTATGTGCTGCAACACTTCAGATTCCTCTGCAGTGGCTGAGCTGTCTACAGGGAGAATTACTGTCTCTGCTAAGTGAAACCAGGCTTCCATTGCTATCTAGCGGCCAACATGAGGTACACAGACATGCTTGTGCTTTCTGTTGGCTGTAACAATCCCTTCAGCAGCTGATCTCCCCAGAGCGCACTGTGCATTCTGCCAGTGCAACCGCTGAGTGAAGTCATTCACAGCTATCTTAAGTGTGTGAACATATTCACACTCTGGTAGCACAGCAGCTGCCACCTGTCACCAGAACTTCTGCAACAGAGGCAGATAAGCATAGACAAAGTCTTAGTATACCTCCTGAGTCCAGGCCCCATTTAGAGACCTATACTCTTTTTGCCTGAAAGAGACACTTTCTACTATTAAGTCTGTGCCTCCAGAGAGAGGCTGGTAGAAACTCACCTGTGAGGCAAATAGTGATGATATGTGGTCAAGACTATAGCGGTTGCTCTCCGTGCTCACCAACTGGAAGACACAGAACTGCAGACACACAGACAAGTCATATCTTGATAAAAACTCACTCTAACTAAAATAAAGAGGCTATCAAGTAGAGCAGGAAAAAACTATTCTACCCAGGTTCTCATGTCATATGCATCCCCTCTGATGCTAAGATACTTTGTTTTTTAATCTTAGGAGTGAAGACACTATACAAGTACCAACTAGTACACATGCAATGCATACCATATTAAAAAACAACTGCTTCACACAACCTTGGCCACAGAGGCTGCATGGTCACAGACATCTGCACTGCTCCATTCTGAAATCGCAGGCATTCCAGGTAACCAAAGGGACACAATTTACACAATTCTTAACTAGGTGTGACTTATGCAAAGGCTGCAGAAACTGTTCATTTCCTCTGAGCTAGTGTACAGCACTGAGCATAGGGGGATCTGGGACCAAAAGCAGGGCCCTTCAGCAATACATTAAATGAGGCAGAACAATGCACTCAGCCTGGGAACCGTCAATGGTGAGGTAACACAGGTAATCAGGGGAGGGGGTGAAAGCAGCATGAGACCTGAGAGTGCCTTCTTCACATTGGGCCAAAGTCTGCATTCAGCTTTGAGTACTCCAAGAACAGTGGCAACATAAATAAGTTCACTTCATGTAAATGTATTTAAAATGATTAATATAATTAAAGTTTCACAGAGCAGGGGTTTGCAACTTTTTACTAAGGGCCAGCTGTCCCTTATGATCCAGCAGTCACCACAGGCAGCCAATCCCCATCTAGTGCTCCAGATGACACTTTTCCTTACAGGATGGCTACTCTCCTGTCCTCCACTGCAGCCATTACCCACCTCTGGATTCTTCTCATGAGCTGTAGGTTACCAATCTCTGCTTAAAGTGGACAGATAACACTGCCTACTTATTTCTATTTTTGTAAGGTGTTTGAGAATCTGTGCTGCACACCCTCTACACTTCATTCCCCATTCACTGAGTAAGGCTGGGGAGCTATAAAAGAACATGTGAACACAAATAAAAGATACCAAACTGAATGCAGCAGAAGGTCCAGAATTAAGGGGTGGGGGGCCAGGGGCAGCAGCACTTTTACCCTTAAGGCTGGTTTTACAGCCCTAATGATTTCCCCACTGTATTTGTTAAGAATCTCAGGTTTCTTTCTTTTCTTTTTTTTTTTTTTTTTTTTTTTTTTTTTTAAATCAGAAAGGACTTTCATTAATTTCCTAGGAGCCACCAAAATGTGAAACCAATGCACAGAACACAGTGGCATTTTATAAGCATGTGGTATAAGACATCTGCAGCAAAGCTTGGCTCCAAACACTTAAGTCTATACTAAAATGCAGTGAATGAAGTACTGCTTGCTTCTTAGCTTAACAACAAATGCACAATGTAGCCCGATTTTGAAAGCTGGAAACTGGCTCTCAACGATTACCCACTAAAACTTCCCTCTTGATGAACATGTGAAGTGATTTTAAACCCTTCATCATATTGACAAAAAAGTGTTTTTCCAAAGATTGTCTCCACATCAGAGCCCAGATTTCTACGACCAACTCACTTCAGACACTCGGAAAGGCCTTCAAGAATTTGCTAAAAGCATGAAGTACATACTCCCTAATTCTACACAGGCCATCACTGCTCTTTTTCCTTAAATCCTCACACACTGTAAGTAAGGAAGTCTCAGGTTATTCTATACCTGTCCTCGCTTTGGCGCGTGCATGTACACGCCGAGATAAAGCCCAAGTGACTGGGAGAAGGCCAGCCGTAGCCGGTGTCCAGTTCCAGCAGCAAGCCTCACATCCTTATTGACAGGCATGAACTCCAGAAGATCTGCTACCATAAGGCACGTTTGGTCCTGCCCAAAACAAGATATCAAATGAGAAGCATAAAGCAAGTTAGGGTTGGAGCGTTGACTTTTTCTTAAGGGACAGGAGAAGGTAAACAGCAAACAATATCACAGAACACCTTGCCAACAACTATAGTGCAGATTCCCCACTCCACCCTGCTTGTCTTCCTTTTCATTGTTTTCCTTTGTGGGCCCCATTTTTGCTCCCCTTGTTATTCCCTCCCCTGCTCAGCATTAAGTTGCATCTTGCGCAGAGTGGGAATCACCACTGATGCAACAGACAAATACTCCATCAGCCAAGCTGCCCATCAGAAATAAACACACGGTAATTAAGTGATTTCTCAAGCATGGACCCACTGCATGAACTGTTTCTATGGGTTGCTGTCAAGGGACTGTGAGCAAGGCAGGAAGGGAAGATAGATTTCAAGA